TAGACTACGAGGGGGCATCGGAACTCGTGCCCTGCCTGCCCCCCCCCCCCCCCCCTCCCCCGGGCCCGGGCCATGATCCCTACCGAGACGCCGTTTACGTGCCATGTAACGAGTGTCTAATAGTGGCATGTAAACGAAATAATGCACACGTTGCTTTTATTGACAAAATACATGGGAAATAAAATTTCAGCGCGCTTTCCGGGGGCGGGGGGAGGGGGGGGGGGGTCCTTTTTTGCTTGCGTGGAAACGCCCCCCCCCTCCCCCCGGGAAAATGAAAAGTCTACACCGCTACATTGAAGCACAATTACTTTTTATCCGACGTGTTGATATCCTTTACCCTATAGGGTAAAGAATATCGACTTGCCGGATAAACTCACTGGTCCTATAGGACCAGTGAGTTTACGCGCGTATTTTTTGCTTTATTTAAATGAAATGGGTGGTGGGTTCTGGAACTTCTTAGTTATTCTGGATGTACTACCTTTTTATCTTCCGATATCTTTATAAACTATATTTGAAAAAAAAAGAATTAATAAGTGTGAAAGTATTCATTCGATTTAAAAATTGTAGTGTTTTTTAATTTTTTTTTTACACTACTTCAATTGATATTTTGACTAAAGGCTGGAAACTTTCTTCAACCAAGCTTATCCTTGATCAAAAAGAGAGAAACAATTATTTGAGTAGAATATTGTAACGTTGAATTTATTTAACTCTATTAGTCGCACACGCTAACAACAAGCTGACACATTGATTCAAAAATATGTGACATTGGACACCACGAAATATCGTGCCCTCTTACACTTACCAGCGTTCAATGGTGGACTCCTTGTAACGTTGAGTTTGTGACACCGTAGTGGTTGCCTCCCATGAACCGCAGTGTAGGAATGTAACGGCCACGACGGGTAAAATCGGAACAGCCTTTTCTCATCATGACTTGGAGCACAGCTAATAAAGTGTGCATGTCGATTTTATCATATTGTCACTTTAGAATACGGCAGACGGTGATGGGGTGGCAGGAATAACTATAAACGATGGAATAAAAGGAAGCACGCTTTTGAGTTGTCATACTTTTATGCTGTTTCCAATCTTACATTAATCATATGGCCACAAAGCTCGCGCACTCTTTGGAAGCAACTGAAAAAATTCCTTGCCGTTTTAAAGGTATCCATAAGTTAGACAACACTAAAGGTCACATACATTTTCAAATTAAATGACACTACAAGCGTAGATTTATTTATATATTAATTTTTATTTATTTATTTTTTTTTTTGGGGGGGGGGTGTCATGGCCCAATTCTAGCAGTAAGTTCAATTTTAGCGGGCACCAACTTTTTTTTAGAAGGTTAAAAAACATTAGCATGTAATTTAACAATTTTTCGTTCATCTACTTTTACGGCAGACATGAGGAACACAAGCAAGCTTACATTCGAGCATAGTCGGTGATGATATTATCCGGTTCAGTGCCTGACGAACTTTGCAATTTCTGTTCTGCTCAAATGGCGAACATTGAAACACATCTCATTACTAAGTGTTGCCTTTGCATACAAAGTAATACTCACTGGTTAATTATTCGGGCGCTTCTCGAGGGGAAGTTCTCTCCAGCTGTTACCGCATCGTTTGTGACGCTAAGTGGTCAAATTTGAAGCAATTCACTGCCCGTACATTGTAAGTTGCCAAAAAGCACTGACGTCGTGTTTGCGTTAACAGCGCCTCGCAGAATACTTGGGCAGAAGTCCGGAAATTTTCGAACACTCATGTATTCACTCAACACTAAGTTCTTCGATATCTTAAAGTTGCGCCTCCGAGGAAAAACAAAATCTATTAGTAAGCCGATCAATCGAGACAAGACATAAAAAATCAACTTTGTAACATGAAGCCATTTTTATTTACAAAATGTACACGAATATCTTCAGCGAACGTTCGCCAACGTGAATCACATTTATGACTGAAACTAACTCACAGAGTTCGCAAATATGTGCGGTTCAATGAGCAAGTGCTTCTGTATGCGTAGTCCCTTACACTTCAGTATCCTCTCATGGTGTCGTGCTTTAACAAGTGAACATTCTTACATATTTCAGTTACTTATATGCATTCCTAAGTAAATCTCACACCCGAAAATCGCTCCTCAAGACAAAACAAAACAGGTTGTTATTGTCTATACATGAACTCACAGAGGCTTTATTTTAATATGTTGGAAAATTATGCTGACTCAAAACGTGGACTCTCGGTATTATTTGTTCTTCTCATTTTTACATAAGTTCAGAGATGAAAGACATTCGAATTATAGGATTTTTCAATTATTAGATTAAAATAAAAATAATATTTTTCTACATGTTTCATCATTCAGTCTGTATTGTTTTATTCATTCAAACGCTCTTTTTTTAATGAGTACTCGTGCGCCGCATTGTGTTTAGTTACGAGCTAATAAACCTGAGACAGCACGCTATGATGATCCACATAACACATGCGATACGTCCTACTCATAAATAATAAAAAAAATGAAATGTTCGAAGATCACCATGAAAGCTGGCGTCTTCCCTAGTTTCAAGTAGTGTCGTCGTTCACCCCAAAACAATCATGTCAACATTATTTGACCATCTCGAAGACAGCGCGTGTTCAAGAGTTTGTAAAAGAAGAAAACACAAGCATGCACTCGCAGTTCTCTTTTTGTCTTGATGAAACCTGCGAAGATGACTTGGTAGAACCTCAAAAGCTGAATCTGAAAAAAAACATACAGAAAACATGATGCATGTTTGCCTTCTCATTAACATCCCGCGTTTTCCTGTTTAAATATTCTTCTCCAAATACTCTGTTTAGTACTATATAGAAGTTATTTAGTAGTAACAATAAAAAAATTCGATGCAAATTTAAGAAAATGCGTATCTAGCTTATTCTGCCCTCAATGGTTTCACTAAACTTTCATTACTTGCTGTAGATTGAAAATAAGTTAACAATTTTTAAGTTTCGATTCCCAAAAGATCAGTGAATTATCTCAATAGGTGTGTTACCAAAAGATTCGCGTTTTTTTTCTATTACGAAACAATTAAGTGAAACATGCACTTTAGGCAGGGCTCGGCAGAGATACTCCACAAAGTAGTTGGGAATACAAATATTGAGAGACATGTGTTTTAAGGCCCAAAGTACAGATACTGAGATACATTTGTCTTTTTTGCAACGGGATATCACTGAAATACGTCTTCAAAACCGGCGCAAAAGTATTCCGGAATACAGCTACAAATTTTCATAGAAATACATTTGTTCCAAAACGGTGCTAGGTGGGGAGGGTGTAGTTAGTGGCAAGTACGAATGTTAATTTATGATTGTGCTCCTTTTTTGCGTAATTTTATGCTGTTCTCCTCACCTCGAACCCTTTACTTTTCATTAATGCCGCTAAAGAAAGCATGTCACCCATGTTAAACCACGTAGTTACAGAACGGTAAAGACCGCGTGCTGTGCCTGACAAAAAGAGTCTGCCCGAAATGAATCCTGTTTTGCCGTGAGGGCGCATCTCAAACTGTCGTATTATAAGCTTCTGAGTCATCCATAGTGTGGCGAGATGGGACACAAGGGGCCATAGTTTTTCTTCACTCAACTATTCTACAGTGTTCTTTCTGCTAAATTGGAAATTGGAGGGTACTGTGAGACGAGCTGATTTTGTTATCCTTGCCCATAACGTTTATAAACCACAGTATTTTTTGTTTTTTGTTTTGTTTTTTACGGTGACTGAGAGGGGTTATGTTACAAGGCGAGTTCATATTATAAATTACCAAGCAACTTGCACCAAAAAGATGTTTTTGTCTTTAAAATGTATCTTAAAAAGGACAACAAATGTAACGAGATGCCTATGTCTGGCAAAGTATCGCGATACAAGCGATACATTTGAAATGTGTTTAACTACTGAGATACAAATACATTTCTCAAATGTATCTCGATACAGAGATACAAATACTCGAAAGTATCTCCGAGATATTATCGCGATACATTTCTATCTCGATACAGAGGTGCAGATACTCGAATGTATCTCTAAGCTAATATAGGATACATTTGTATCGTGATACTGCCTAGTCCTGATTTGTGGTCGCTGAGCAATAGAACCATCTGTTTGTTTGTATTTGTCTAGCCTTACGTATCAAACATAAAATGACTAAGAAAATGTTTAAGGCGGAATACGGTGTCTGTGCTTTGCTTTACCTGAAGTCCGAGAACATCTGACGCTGCGAGTCAATGGGACCCATCTAGCCGCCTCAAAAACGCAATATCTTAACGCTTGTCATTTTTCTATACGTCTTCCATTGCCGTCTAAATCAATCAAGCGCAGTAAATGCCGTGCGACTTGCGCTTTCACGTTTTTGAGCCTTGGACTGCGCTCCAACGAATATTAAAGCGAAGAATAGGCATGTGCACACAATTGAACTTTGTACTGATGTTATTTTCTGATCAATATATAGAAAATGATGTACCAGAGGCAGTTCAAATGACACGCGTCATGTGGTAATAAAATTTAATGCAAGCTATAAACTTACCTGATCTCTGTGGGAGCCAGTTTCACAAAGGTCTGAACAACACTGGGCTGCCGTCAGTTCGCCGCACGTTTTAACACGTTTTCGAATCACACACAGGGAAACGGCAGCAGTCTGTGATCTTCGTCGGGTCGCCCTTGCCAGTCCACTGGCCGTAGTGAAGTTGGCAAAGTCTACTGGAAGGTAAGGTTGGGGAAGGTACTCTATCTGACATTGATTTCTCATGCACTCACTCGCTAACATCACCAACGGGGCTTGAAGTTGGAGACAAACAAAAAAAAACACGCAAAAAATGAATGAGCACTGGAATATCCACGGAAGTCTCCTGCTGGACTGCGGCCGTAATGGTAGTTTCACCCGATTACTGCGATGTCACTTTCGGTGTATCAGACCTCACTTCTGATTCCAAAAGTCCCAGTCAATCCCCGGCACGAGAACAAGATGGACGATTGTGTGTAGCACTGTCGATCTCGAAGACGCTGTGTTACCTCAGCATGACACCGGCGATGACGTAGCACATGACGTAGTGGACAACCGACCAATGGAAAATTGTCGCGATTGTTTGGGAGGAGGAAGATGATAGGGGCTTTCCGTCGTGCTGCATCGCCGCTGGTTTCTCACCTGCAAAAGAAAAATAACGTGGAAAAAGAAATATCTTGTGAATCACGCGATCATCTTCAATTGCACGTTTCAAAATGTACCATTAGCGACTTGTGCGACCCAAAGTGTCGCTGTGGTCGCAACTCGCGATTGGCAAAACGCTCACTGTGACGTATTCTTCTGGATTAACTTTTCCTTAGCCGACGGAAATCAGGGCGGACAATGTAGGAGTGTCAACTGTACGATGTGCTTTTAAAAATTCGATGATTCGAAGCTTCCATAATTGTTTTCAGATACACTATCGCACATGTATTTCGCAACCGATGATACGTAGTCAAGTATTACAACTCATAACGTCACGGTGAGGACAATTGTGGTTGTGGCGTCACGAACGGGCACCGTACGAGGGCGCCACCTAAATATCTCGCCCCTAATCGACCGTGGCAAAGTGCGTTAGAAGCTTCTGGGGTGTATTAAGCATTAATATTCCATTAATAACCTAACGGGGGGTGCACAATAGAAATGTTTCGTGCAATCTTCGTTGGCCCCTTTATGGTATTTCCATTTATAGATCTTACAAAAAATACTCAGATTCATCCGTATGCATTAAGAGCAACGATCCCCTGATGTTTTAATAAAATATTTCTAGTACCTAAGTACTCCCACAAACCATAATAAATACATGTTGGGTGTCTCAACAACAAAAAAAGTTAAATTTTTTTTTAATTTTTGTTTGCTAAATGTAAGCACTATATGCTCTAAGTAAGCTATATTACGCTGTCTAAATGTCGTTAACAAGCAAAAAAAAAAACACAAAAAAGGGAGATGGTTGTGTACTATACTGTAAGCTAGACAGATGGTAATTTCAAGAAGGGCACACCGAGTAGTAAAACTCCGAAACACAGATACAAGTTTCTTTTTATGACATTTTGATCCTTGTCTTAGCGCCAATGCAAAGACGTAATCCTAGTACGTCTTTTTAGTAGAAGCCCACTAGGCACGGGTGGACCAAGTAATACGCATTTAATAGTTCTACTGCTTAACTATATAAAACGGCATCAATAACGCACGTTTTAAATACAAATACAGCGAGAAGCTTAGACGGTTCTTGAAATTTTACTTCACGTTTTCTTTTTCCGTGTTTTAATTACTATAGTTTGCTTGAAGACGCCGAGGGCCACAAAACTATGTTTAGTTATCTTTGGAGACGTTTTATATTTCGAGCATCTACCTAGGATGTATAAAAACAACTTTGAATGCACCATATTAGCTTTAGGGTTACAGGGTAAGGATCAAATTTATTAATGGTCACTTTTAGAAGATTATCACGGAGTTAATAAGGCGTAATTTCAAAAGAGAAGTATTTAAATCGTAAAAAACAATCTGCAAGCAACAAACTTGCGACAAACCCGGAGGAAGAGGGGGGGGGGGGGTATTGATGAGCAGGCCATTCACTAGGTCTAAATGTTGTTTTCTTTGTTGTTTCTACAAACATTCATAAATGACGCTGACGGCAGCACATGTATTCTTTGGTAAAAGCAAGTCCTACAATTTTTTTTTCGTTATTACATGACGAGCGTACTCTTTTTTTCCCTCGCAGTGCCTTTCAAGCGTTATTTCTATGTTTGTTCAGTTTTGTATTTGTACGATAATTTATTTGATTCTATCACCTGTTTGTACGTTGAAGGCGATTTTAGAACTTTTAAAGCGAAAACGACGCTGCATTTTCAGCTACAAAAACCAAAATATGACAATTATTGTTAACACTTTTCTTTAAAGCTTAAAACCAACTTGGTTAGGATTTTTCAATACACTGCCACTCATTTAAAGCTACATACCGGTGTCGTAACTTCAAATGTATAGGGGGTCAACGACATTTATATTACGTCAGCGTCCCCTCAGAGAATGTCAATTCTGGTTTTATAACGGATAAAATAACACGTGCGGCCAAACAAACGCACTAAAATAGAACCTAGAATAATTTTAAGAGCTTTGGTCAGCGAAGCGCGGGGCCATATTTATTCTGAGCAATTTATTATATTTGTAACTATTTTTTAATCTTTCCAGCAGTAAAAAACAGAACATGTCTTAGTTATGCGTATGATATATTTTTTATTCAGCGTTAATATTTGTGATCTAACACTTCTCACCGAAATATTATTGATATCCGCGAGATCGGGGGCCAGCTATCCTCAAAAGATCCAAGGGACCGATGGGACATAAAACGAAGATATTCCAGTTTCTTCCGTTACCGCTAGGCAATTCGGAAATTGCGGATATTAGAAGAGACGTGGCGGCCGGTATCTGGCACTAAAACGTTTTTTTGTTTTTTTTTTTTTGTTTTCTGTCGAATGCGCAACCATCTAAAAGTACAGTATGAATGTATCAAGGGCATTCACACCTCGGCGCGTATCTGGCATAAACGTACAGTTCAGTGTTTTCAAGGATTCATTTTATTTTTAATTCCTGATTTTTTTTTTGATTTTGTTTTTTTCTCTCAGTTTGGTGGGGAAGCCTTGTGTATATTTTTTTTTCAGACAAAAAAAAAAAAAAAAATAGGCATTTATCTGGGTTATGTAGGACCTCGACGATGGATTCCTCAAACTCAAGAAAACATCCGCGTGACCGAAATGTGTGAAATGCCTTTCAATACCGATAATAGAAAAAAAAAATAAGAAAGACCATGCTTCTCCCCAGAAAAGCTGCTCCGCGGATGGTTCGCTGCTTGCTGTGTTCCGAGTCAACAGAATATAACGTTGCAGGTTACGATTTTTCTACACGCGATTTTAATATTTACTTCACGTTACAAAACAACTCAAATTTATGCACTTGGTGTTAGGGATGGCTTTTGAGATCAATAATTTATGTATTTGAAGTTGACGTGCCACAAAATATTAATAAAGTAGCCCCGATATTTACGAGAAGTCATTGAATTGCGCAAAGAGCACATAATTTAAATGTGAGCTTACGGTAATTTTTTTCTTTATACTACAAGTCGTTGCCTGGCCTTTCACTTTACCGAAATACAAATTTTACGAAAATACCTTCCTAAACATATGTAGCTTATTTAAAAAAAAAAAAGGTTGGGCGCTGTCTTCATAAATTTACAAAGAATGTAAAAAAAAAGCTCAACATAAGGAATGGCACTAAAATCATCTGATTAACCTCCAATTTTACTTACTACAGACGCAGTTTTATTGTGCATTTTCTTGTCTTTCTATTGGAACAGTGCGCGGAGCATAACATCATAAACAGGAACGGTCAGTATTTTCAATTTTTGCAATCCGGAACTCCACGTCCATTCACAAGAGACATCCAAAGTATGTTCGATGCTTTAATAAAAGCGTCTTCACAATGTACTCGAATGCAATTTGAAATAGATCAACCAAAATCCTAAAGCATAGGCCATTCGTCATTTTGATCTAAACAGCGTGACAAGGTATTCATATCACACTAGAAAGGAAAGGATCTGGAAAACTCTATATGAAATCGGGTGTGCCCATATTCCATGTATGCTCTTTTTCGTGTTCTTTTTTCTCCGTCCTTCGCATGATCTGGCCGTTCGTAATATTTTTTTTGTCTCGATTTCACTTACTTATTTGTTGTTTACTGGAACTATGAGTCAAACATCTGCTCTCGACTTACTCATTTTGCATATCTTTATGTTTGCAAAAGCAATGTCGAGACGTTGACAAAGCGGTAAACTTTCTATATTACAGACAATAGACAAATGTTCCTGCTAATGGTACTCGTCGTAGCCGCTCATTGTCAGCGATGATGTAAAATTCAGCGATTTTCCACTTTCCAAACAGCAGGGAAACCGTTTTTTCACCTGCTCACTGGAGGTAACATAAAAGCTGTAAAAGTTTCATTGATTCGTCTGGTAGACGTTATAAGGCCCTGGTAAAAACAAGCCGTGTTCGAAAATTCTTTTTTAGAATGAACCTCCGGTTTATGTGCACTATGTAATGCCGCGGCCCTGTAATTCTATTTATTTATTTATTTTTTTTTTTTTTTTGGGGGGGGGGGGGGGGTGGGTAGCGGCAGTAGAAGTAAAGATGCCGAGCGATTTGAAAAAGTAGGCCGTGAGGTTGAAAATTCATTTTGAATCTACAGCGCCCAAAACTTCATGCATTATTTATGTCGCCGACTCGGGAAGCTCGGGGAATGAAGGTGCTAAGGCGCTGACGTCTGCCTTACAGTCCAAGAAACGCTTGTTTTTGTTTTGTTCTTAAAGCGGATTTAGTTCTCTCAGCGATATTCGAACATGTACGCGATGAACTAAAACAAAACGAAAAAAGGACATCTGCGTGCGTTATGCTTTAGAGTATGATATCTGAGCGAGTTTCTGGCCCTAGAACTTTGGTTGGCCTTGAGTTGTGAGCAGTCATGGAGTTTTTAGCCGTTACTATATTTGTTTGGCCAACACAACCAATCTCTTTTTTTAGAAAGAAAGTGCTCGGTAAATTTAGGATTATTAACGTATTTCAAATAATTTCTAAGCAAAAAAAGCACAAAAATTCGTCAATTGAATTGCGGATCGTATTCACTGAAAGTGCCATACAAACTGTTTCAGACATTAATGTAATATTAACCGCTTACACTCTTTGTAGTATAGAGGGCCTTTAAATTAAATATACCGGATACAACTGTACTTAAGGAACAAGGTTTAACCTTCAAATTTCACTCGATATTTTTCAAATCAAACTGAAAAGCATGCCTCTTAGTCACATTGTTCGCTACAAATGCCGAAAAGACCCTCCTAAAGTCTACTTACTGTCGTATTTTTTAATATCAATTTCTTAAACAATTAAATTGAGCAAAGATGGATGCCAAATGTGCTATTGATTCCATATATCTTTTTTATATTAATTACGTTTTCATTTTTTCTGCCACTCGACGAACCACTTTAATTCAAATAATTGTTGTTTTACTGTAATTTTTTTTTCTTCACGGTTTATGTAAATACATATGCCGCCAGAGGCTTCGCAATTTCCTAAAGCATGTTGAGGCCGCTGTTT